AGAAGAATGCCATATAAACCATTAAAAATATCACAAAAGGATATTTCAGATAAATACTTATTAATTATACGTTTAAATAGCTTGAGAATTATAATTTATATATTTAATATTATTTAAACTTGAAATGTTCTGATAAAAATTATTTAAGTTTAATTAACATTTTTTTAAACCAACATATATAAATAGATATTCAAAATAAAAAAAGATTAATATATGTAAGAATGTAACAAGAAGTTTGACTAAACTATTACATTAACACATATTTTGAGACATACAATAATCAATATAACAACATTTGTCGATTTTAGATATTGAACGTCGATATTAAATATTTGTTTCCCGCTCATGGATATGATACTCAAGATTATATATCACCTCCAGAAAACGTACGAATAGCGGTAAACATTTCTTTCGCAATTGTTAATAATATTTAATTTAATTTAAATAATTTTAACAGTTTTCAATAAATAGCAAATATATTTCTCCACTATGTTACTTATATATATATGTATATGTCGTTCGTACAGATGTTACAGTATGCTTGGTGGTATTTTTTCGCAAAAATTATCGAACTTCTGGACACGGTAAGAAAATTTATAATGACAAAAATAATTGATTAATTAAAAATTAAAGTGTTTAAGTTAATTAATTTATAAAAAATTTAATACAAAAAACATCATGCTTTTATCGACTTGTAAAAGTGGTACCATTGTTCCGACAGTTAACTAACAAAAATTATTGCAAACAAACATTTTGAAACATAAACAGAACATTTTGCTAACTTGTCATCGGAAAAATATACGTAGATTGTTCGCATTATTTTTAATAAATTGAAAAAAATGTTTAATGTTCTCTTCTTTAAACAGAATATCAAAGTATGTTAAAAAAAAACATAAGAAGTATATTAGATATCTTTTTAAAATAATACAAATCATTAATAACATATCAAATTAAAAAATTAATAAATAACTATTTTATATATAATATTAAAAACACCGTTTAGTTGAAAATAAACAAAAAATTTTGTAAAGAAAATATGTAACTTCTAATGTTCTGCTTTTCAAGGTATTGTTTGTTTTGAGAAAGAAGCAAAGTCAGATTACTTTTCTTCATGTTTACCATCATACTTTAACGGTCATCTCTTCGTGCTGTTATTTGAAGTTCTTGCCCGGTAAACAAGGCGTCATCATAGGTTTTTTAAATTCTGTGGTCCACGTCATTATGTACAGTTATTATTTTATCGTGGCACTTGGCCCTAAGTACATAACATTTAATTAAATTAAATAACAAAATTAATTGAATTAATTGATTAGTTAGAAATTAAAATGCGTGAGTTAGCCGACTTACAAAGATTTAAGAAGACAATGAAGCCTATATCATGCTTCCGTTATCGATTAAAAGTGGAACCATTGTTTAGTCTTTAGTCAGTTACCCAATGAAAGCTATTGCAACGAAACATTTTGAAATATGAATAAAGCGTTTTGCTAACT